GCCTGAGGATCACAGTGAAGCTGACCATCCAGAACAGACAGGCCCAGATTGAGGTGGTGCCCTCTGCCTCCGCCCTGATCATTAAAGCCCTCAAGGAGCCACCACGAGACAGAAAGAAGCAGAAGAACATTAAACACAGCGGAAATATCACTTTTGATGGGATTGTCAGCATTACCCGGCAGATGAGACACCGACCTTTAGCCAAAGAACTTTCTGGAACTATTAAAGAGATTCTGGGTACTGCACAGTCTGTGGGCTGCAATGTGGATGGCTGCCACCCTCATGACATCTTGATGACATCAACAGTGGTGTGGAGGAATGCCCAGCTAGCTAAGAAGCAACGAGAGAAAATATTTCAAAAAAAGACATGTGATAACCAGAAAAAAAGATAGATATAGATGATATATACATAGGTGGTGATAGTTTATAAAGATAGATTATAGATAAGATAAACAGATAATTGAGAAATTAAAGATATGTGATAGAAATCCATGGATAGGTATCTCCAGGTAGATATAGTCACATATTTGTAATATTTGAAACATAAGTACATAGAGACAGATAACTACAAGTTACAGAAGTAGCAAAATACTTAGTGCTCAGTGACTAACTACTTTCCAATAGATCCATCAGGATTTATACCCTGTTCCCTATTTTGTGACTTTGGATAAATGTCTAGGGATCAATTACATTAACAAAGGTGTGTAATTGCCTGATGCTTTGAACAAGTAAACATGTCAAATGAAAGCCCGCAGGACCTTGGGACTACTGGTTTTCATCATTTGATGCCTGCCTCCAGTGAGTATCAAGGATGGAAAGGGATGGGCTCTCAACTCCAATCAGACTGTGTTCCCTCTGAGGACCATCTGGGCTCTGTATCCAGCAGGACAGGTGTCCTTAGACAATCTCTAAAACCTCACCAGGTTTATTTCCTTACTAGTGGACCATGTTCAGTGTTAGATGATGAACTACAGTCCAAATATAATCTGCAAAATTGCTTCCAGATGTAAGATCTCTAGTAATAAACTAACAACTGAACATCTGCTCTCACTTCAGGGGGGCAAGAAGAACTGGAAACCCAAAGAGAACTGTGGGAAGGAGGGCAAAAAGCTTGTTAAGTCTTCTTCAAGTAGATTTTACTAAACTGAAGTTTGGAGTTTTTCTTCACCTAGAGTGCCATCGCTTCATGGAATCTTTATAAGTGACTGTGTGTGTCTAGAACCCACACAATAAGTGACTATATATGTCTAGGACCCACACAATAAATGACTGTGTGTGTCTAGGACCCACACAATAAGTGACTGTGTGTGTCTATAACCCACACAATAAGTGACTGTGTGTATCTAGGACCCACACAAATCACAATTCCTCCTCTGATTAAAAAAGAGAGAACTCCAACAAAAAGACAAACAAAACCATAGAGATAAAAGGCCAGAAAGAAAATAGACTGACCAATAACACATGTAATTGTGCCTTGTTCTCATCTTATCTATAGCAAGCTGGAAGGTGTGGTAATAGGACTCTTTCTGGGATATTTCTGTACTCTAGGAGAGAATTAACTATGGATGCAAACTTGAAAGTAGGGAAGTGAAGAGCAGAGGTTTTTAAAATCAGAAGGAAATTGGCAGTAGCTGACACTGAGTCCCAATGTGTTTTTTATCCATTTCTAACACGTTTACTGATAGAAGATAAGAAAAATGCAAGCAGCTCAAACAAAATAAAAAGGTCCAGGGATAGGAAGTCAATGGCAGTCTCACATCGTGGAGTCTTGTGATATATGAATGTCTACTTCAGCTGCCTCCCAGCATCTTTGGCTTGAGACACTCTGGATACATTTCTTCTCACTCCCAGCCTTTGCACGTGCTCTTCTCTAGCCTGAGGTACTGCCATTCAACATCTTTGATTTCACCAAAGCAACTCATCTCTCTGCCCTTCTTTCTCCAGGAATCTCCCTCTGACATTCCAGAGCTGACTTAAATGTTCATCCCAGACCTGCCAATAACCCTGCAGTTAAGACTGTTTGCACAGACACCTGTGTGACCCAAGCATCTTGAATGTTCTTATTGTGTCTTGTCACCTTTACATCAGTAGCAAATAACAGGTACCAGGTGCACATTACTCAGCAAATATTAGCCAACAGGTGACAGAGCTCACTCTTCCAGAATCATAATGAAAATCTAACACTTGACGCTGCTAAATGATTTCTGCCTCTTTCTCAAGAAAGAGAGAGGGAGGGATGAAAGAAGGAATGAAGGAAGGAAAGAAAGAAAGAAGGAGGAAGGAAGGAAGAAAGGAAGAAAGGAAGGAAGGAAGGAAAGAAGGAAGGAAGGCTGAAAACCAGAGAGTTTGACAGGAGGTTCCGTTGTCCTTGGTAATTGGTGAATTGTCTGGAACCAGGCCTGGAACAAGTCTTCCATTTTATTTCACACCATCCTTACCACAGTCCCTCACTAACCCTCACTCGTTAAGTATAATCTTCAAAATGCCGTCCCTCAGAAACTGAAAATTAGCTTCTTGAGACATCAAGGATGAAGGTGAGGTCACTTCTGGAATGAGCCCTGAAATATTTGTTCAGTCCAGCATTAAACAGTCATCAGAAGGGAAGGAGCTTAGCTCAGGAATGGAACGCTTACACGGCAAGTGTGAGGACCGAGTTCCATCCCCCACACAGGCAAGACCCACCCACTACTGGCTTCAGTCTGAAAGCTTTTCAACTGTCCCTGCTGCCAGTATCCTGCAGCACTATAGGAGCCTCTTAGCCACCACCTGTCCTTAGCTCACATCTCAAGAGTGGTTCTTCTTATGAGAGGGCCATCATGAGTTACTATTTGATTTTTTGGGTGGGGTTCAAGACAAGGTTTCTCTGTGTAACAGTCTTGGCTCTCCTGGAACTCACTTTGTAGAGCAGGCTGACCTCAAACACACTGAGATCCGCCTGCCTCTGCCTCCGGAGTGCTGAGATTAAAGGTGTATGCCACCACCGCCCGGTTGCTATTTAAATTGTAGGTCACTTCCCTCTTCAGCTAAAACTTCTCTGATGGCATCGTAAGTCATTTGGAAGAAAGACTCAAATGCTCAATCAGGTGCACGTCCTCGGTGAGGCCACCCTGGACATCTCATGTAAAACTCTCCATTCCACTCTTCTCACAGCCTAATTTCCTGCTCTATGCTTAGCATTCTTTACAAACAATCTATTTTTAATATTTTTGTTATTTCCGGGCTTGGTGGCACAAGCCTTTAATCCCAGCACTCCAGAGACAGAGGCAGACAGATTTTTTTGAGTTCGAGGCTAGCCTGCTCTACAAAGATAGCCTCGCTACACAGAGAAACTCTGTCTCGAAAATAAATACATACTTTTTGTCATTTTATTATTTTTTTCATATAGGTTTTGGCCTGCATGCATGTCTATGCAGCACATGTGTTCCTGGTGTCCGAGGAGGCTAGAAAAGGGCATCGGATCCCCTAGAACTAGAGCTACAAATGGTCTTGAGTTACCATGTGAGTACTGGGAATTGAATCCTGGTCATCTGAAAAAACAGCCAGTGCTCTTAAAAAAGACTTCTCTTTCATATTAAAATCAGAAACTAAGCCCAACTTTATCTACTGCATTTACACCTAGCATTGTCAGGACATTGTTCCAAACACTAAGACACAGCAACGGACAAAAACCACCAAAGCCCATGCATGGCCTGGATGCACTACAGGATGCATTTTGACCCCTACAGCAGGAGTGAAGTGGCTTCAGGCATCTCTAATTTCCCTGATTCCCAGCTGTCATCTGTCCAGGACAGAACGGTGACAATAAAACAAATTCAAAAAGTACCAAAGAAAAGACTTCTCCTTCATACAAAAGACAGAAAATAAGCTTTAAACAAAAACCTGGTAAGCATGAGCAAGCAAAATGAACTCCTTACCCTGCCACCATCGTAACCAAATACACTGCCTACCATGGCCGGGAAAGAGGGGGAAAAAGAAAATACTTCATATCCTGGTGAACTTCAAAATGTTATCTCCAGTATCAGCTTTCAGTCTGTTACATATGATTCAAAATGAATAAGGACTTGAGACTTCGCCAAAACGTGTCAATTCACTAGCCCAAGTGTTTAGCCTCGCCTCATCCAATACCAGCCTCTGCAGATACAGGATGGCCCCACACGAAAGAGTGGGTGTTTTCCATCACAGACAGACGGTGATGGGCCCGCTGGTGCTTTGCTTTCTTCCCTTACACATTTTCTAGAAAAGCCAGTTCTAAAAGCTGCCTTTCCTCGTGAATCAATGCGAGCAAATTCTCCTTGTTTCTCAGAGCTTCTGCCTCAGTTTCTCTTTCACCTCCTGGAGTTACTGCCTGAGAGCACAGCCCTCAGACCCCTTCCACCCAGGGTTGCCTTCTTCAGCTGCTGAAACAGTCTGCAAGTTTAGTCCTCGTGACTGGGTGGCTAGCCCTATTTGTCCTTTGGTTCCTAGGTTAGGGCTAGCCTCAGGCCAGCTCTGACTCCATCTGTTTTGTCCCCTGTGGAAGAAGTCGTGACCAGCAGACTTCAAGCACTCGCCTGGCGCCTCTGCTTCCACTGCCATGTGACCAAACACTGGGAGTCCAGTAGTCCCCTTACATTTTCTTTGCTGTTGATCACTTGTCTCTCTGATGTGTCCCGGCATTAAAAGGCCTGTCTAATTGCCACTGAGTCATGAAACGATTGTTGAGTCAGACCACGGTGTGGTCTCTACCACTTCACTAATAATTAACTCAGGCCACATTCTCAACCTCTGATTACACATCTTATTCCCAATTATCTCTAAAGTCCCTGGGCTCGAGTCTCTCAAAACAGATGAATGAGAGAGAGAGAGAGAGAGAGAGAGAGAGAGAGAGAGAGAGAGAGAGAGAGAGAGAGGAGAGAGAGAGAGAGAGAACAGAGAGAGAGGGAGAAAGGGAGGGAGGGAGGGAGGGAGGGAGGGAGGGAGGGAGGGAGGGAGGGAGGGAGGGAGGGAGGGAGGGAGGGAGGGAGGGAGAGGGAGAAGGAGAGAGGGAGGGAGAGTCTGCATCCTAGAAATTGAAAGCCAAGGCTGGAACGGGGAGCAGAACACGGCCCCTTCAGACAGGCATTCCCTTTGTCCCTTCACAGCCTGCTACAGCTGATCGATGACTTGTGACCCGTGACTGAGGCTGTAGGTCATCACTCTGCCTTTCCCCTCCTTTCGGAAGGAAAGGACTGGACCTGGAAAAGTGGGAAAGGAAAGACTGTAGTGGATTGGACAGAAGGGAAAGTCTGCCCCTTCCCCCAGACTCCCCCCCACACACACACACACCCCATAGAGCTAACACATTAGTACAGCAGCAGGGAAAGAAATCAGCCGGGACCAGGGTGACACAAACAGAACGTGTGAGTGTCAACTGCAGCCAGCATGTTCTAAAGGCCCAGCTGACAAATGGTGAATGTAAGCAAGCAGCCAGAAATAAAGGATGACTCCAAGTTTTTCTTTAAGAATTAAACGTACCTTTGCTGATTTAAAAAGTGAAATATAATATGGATATGTAAATGTAGCCCTGGGGCTTAAACTGTCACCTGCAAAATTTGGAGGAAAAGAAAGGAAAACTGACCTTGCCATAATCCCCGAGAAAATGAGCTAGGGTTCTTGTTTGGCCTTTGAAGGGACCAGACCCTCACTCAGGCCCCTGTTTTAGCAGCCATGACGAGGTACAGAAAAGACCCAGCAAGAGAAAGGCCCAGCGACTCAACAATGTGCTTGCCCAACCTTGCTCCACCTTTTAGTCACTAGCTAGGAACCCTCCATGTGGCAAAGAATCAATCAGAAGTTAGCTGGCAGGCAGGGAATAGCAACTGCCCTGGGAGGGCCTATAGGCCATAGTAACCAGCTGACCAATCAGCACAGAACAGATCACCCAAACCGAAAAGCGTGCCAATCCTGACTGTTGCAGACCCCAGACACTCCCCTTGCTCTACCCCAATAAATTCCCTGCCCCGTGGTCCCTCTGGGTCCTTCTCAATCCACCTGCAGTGTCAAACGGATGGAGGACACCAGTTAATACAGTTAATTCGTTAATTATTAAAGACTCTGCTTTTGCATCAGATAAGGTCTCTTGGTAATTTTGAGATTCAGAATTTGGACACAACAGCCTTAAGCTCATTAGAAGTCTCTTGATAGTTAAAAGAGCCTGCCATTTTAAGCGTGATGACTGGGGACTGTCTATAACTCCAGTCCCAGAGGTTTACATCCTCTTTTTCCACTTTTTTTGAGATTATAATATAATTACATCATTTCTCCCTTTCGCTTCCTCCCTTCCTTGCTATCCCATAGATCCTTCCTTGCTCTCTTTCAACTTTATTGCCTCTTTTTTAATTGTTACGTACATATATATGTATATGTGTATATATGTATAGATATATAGATAGAGACAGACAGACAGACATTATTAAATGCAACCTGCTCAGTCTGGGTAATGTTGCTTGTATATATGTTTCAGGGCTGACCATTTGGTATTAGATAACCAATTAGGGTGTTCTACCCTGGGGAAGAATATTTCTCCAGCTCTCAGAATTCCTTCGTTGCCTGCAGCTCCTTGTGTAGGATTGAGACTTCATAGTCTTCATAGTCTTTCCCCTACGCCCCTTTGGTGTGTCTATTGTCCTTGTTCAGCACATGCTTAGGCAGCCATGTTGGTGAGACTTTATGGGTGTAGCTTCTGAAGTTACTAAGAGACACAGACTCATAACAACCCCCCCTGATCCTCTGGTCCTCACAATCTTTCTGTGCCCTCCTCCTCCATGTGCTCTGAGCCTTAGGTGTGGCAATGTTTTGTAGATGTATTCATTGGGTCTTGGCTCCACATTTGATTGGTTGTGTTTTTCTGTAATAGTCTTTGTCTGTTGCAAAGAAAAGTCTCCTTGAGTGAGGACACTTTTTGGTGAGTATGAGGGAAAATGTTTAGAATATAGTTAGATTATGCCAGTTTAGTAAAGTAGTGGTTGTAGGTTCTCCTCCAAAATCCATGAATTCTTTAGCACTGAGTACTTGGCTGGGTTTCCAATTCCAGGCATGGGTCTCCCTCATGATGAGTGGGTCTTAAGGCCAATTAGAGATTTGTTGATTACCACCGAGGTATGTGCGAGCTATGGCACCTTGGAGTTATCATGTCATGCTGGCATTGTTGTGATTCATAGGCGCCATAGCCAAACAAAACTGTTGGCCACTTCCCTCCTTTGGAAGCTTGCGTGGAGCAAATGCTCAGGGAGGAAACATTTAGCCCTGTTCCAGCTCAGGGGCCACGGGACTCTATGCTTGAAATCTGGGCCTCTTTGGGCCTCGTTATGCACCAGGCATGACAGTGGTGCACAGACAGATGCAGGTGAAACACTCATCGTCATAAAAACAAATAAGTACACTTTAAAGAACTATGTTTAAAGTTTATAGTGACTAAAGTATAGTGCCTGGGTTGGCCGTGGTGATACTTTCACTCTCCTCCACACTCCGTGTGGCTCAGTCTGAAACCCCTTCCCTGTTTTCACATCAGTCACCTAAGGAGCTGGATCGATGGCTCAGAGCTTAAAAAAAACAGTGCTGCCTTTGCAAAGGACCTGGGTTTGATTCTCAGAACCTGAATGACAGTTCACAGCAGCCTGTAACTCCAGTTCCTGGGGATCCAACATGCACAGACATACATGCAGGCAAAACTCCCATATACACAAAACACTTTTAAAATATTTAAAAATTAAAATTTTAAAGCCTCACCTAAAAGGAGCAGCATGTATTCATGTGGTCTCAGTGTTCATACAGCACACTCTCCTGGTCTCAGTGTTCATACGGCACACTCTCCCAGCTGGAAAACAAATCACAGAGAAAGTCTGAAGTTTGCTACATCGGTGTATAGGTCACAGTGCTGTCTTCCGTGATGCTGTCACCCCACCAGCACCTTTCTCCATGACGCCTCCCCAACAAACGACTGAGTCCCCGTGCACTCATGTGGCTTTTAGATAGGCAAGGAAGTTGACAGGAGAGTTGCACTAACCAATACCTGTACTGTCTAGTGTGTCTCTGTGTTTGTGGCCAAAAATAAAATCATAAACACAAGAGCAGTTGACCAAGACAGAAGTTCTGGAAGGGTCTCAGGTTTCCAATTCCCCCATGACTTCAAAGAGTGTCCTTAACCCGTGTTTCATCACACTGAGCTGTGATACACTAAATAATGTCACCCTTGTGCCTACCCCAAAGGGAGGCTCACAGACCAAGGATTTTCCTCCTGTCAGGGCCACCTATGGAGCCGTGGTACAAAAAAAAGGTAGGGTAATTAAGCCCTTTAGAGAGAAATGTGCTCTGGGCTCTCCAGAGAGGAAAAGGGAAAAAAGAAACGAGAAAGTAAAACAGGACACTGGGCAGGAACAAAGTCCCTCCCTGGAAGCTACTTTTAAGAAATGTATCTCTCTAGAAACATCCATCCAAAGCACCAGCGCTTTTAAAACACACCAGCTGAAAATGGAGTGTGAGAGGGCACCTCCACAGACTAACGCGCTATTCCTGGAACGGCGGAAGCGGGTGGTCTGTGTAACAGGAGCAGATGGATCTGTCGGGGCGGCCTCTCCGGGGTCCTTCCCACTCAAACTTGTAACGCTCCCGCTGAGGTCGTGGGACAAAGAGCAAAGAAGGAAGTGCCAGCCTCATGGACAGCACATGGGCGCTATCAGAAAAAAGGGCTTCAGACAACTTCGAGAACTTAGTGTTAATTCTAAGTTGCCTGGACACCCGTTACAGACCACTCCTGGCACCTCACACACCGAAGATTCTTGTGTCTTTTCTCTTTAGTCTGTGGGTATTTCATCCCCACATAAGAAAAGAAAGACGTAAGAACATTAGAGCCCAGAAAATCAAAGCCACTGTTCCTCTTAAACAATGCCAAGTCAGCCGGTCAGAGCTCTATCTGGTTCACGGGTTCTATACTGAGAACTTGAGCTGCTTGACAGTCACGGTGTTTCCCTTACAGATGGGAGTTTAGAACCAGGCAGAGCCAATTCTCTGCATTTCCATTTAAAGCAATAATCCTCCCTAGATAGATGGCTGGGACTGTGACTTTATTCTCATCTCTTTCTAGATAAGATTTTAATTATTGTCTATTGGTGCTTTGCCTACACCGTGCTCATGCAGTGCCCATAGACGTCAGAAGAGGGCATCCGATCCCGGGACTGGAGTTACAGATAGCTGTTAGCCCCCTGTGGATGTTGGAAATGAATTTAGGTCCTCTGGAAGGGCAGTAAAGGCTCTTGGTCACTCAGTCATCTTTCCAGACTCGTTCCTATTAGTCACTTTTCCCTATACATATTGCATAATCAATAGGGAAAGGCTCCCTACCCTGGCTAGTTTCTTTGATTCACAGCCCTGCTTCCCATTGAATCTAAACTATCCTATCAGGCTTCTGTCAGAGCAAGCATCCTATAGGTGTGTAATCAGTTAGCCTGGTCTCTTATTGCTGTTTCTAATGTCCTCTTAGAAGAAATTTAATTAAGATTTGTATCTCTTCATGACTTTGGAACTATATAGGCTTGATTCCTGATTTAGCCATGCCTTTTAAAAATCATAAATCAGTTAACTTTATCCTCTATATGTGAAGAGGCTTTTCCAACTTGAGTGAATTTTTGAAAAGGAAAAAAAAGTCCAGAGGACATCAGATGAATATGTCTTTCTTCATTCAATGGGAAATCCTTTCCATAGCACCTCTGTGACCAGGAGCTTTGCAAGGGTTTCAAAGCAAGCCTTACAAATACAATTTAAAGGAAGCTCTCTATGAGTACAACAAAAAGAAATATGTCTTTGGGCAATAATAGAGTTCAGAGTGCAAGCATACTCTAGTCCAGGCGAACAATGTGCTCTTCAAGGCTGAAATCAAATATTTTAAATTAGTTCAGAAGAAGTGATTATTAATACATATAATACTCATGGCAATTCCTTAGGCCATGAGGTACACAATCCTTTTCTAATAAAATGTATTTTTCAACTTAATGGTTTTAAGTTTGGATTTGAGTGCTCACTTTTCCAAAAGCAGGGCATGCATGTATAGATTTTTTTTCAGTATTTGGGATAGCTGCCCTGAGCCAGCAGATATATTGGATGAAACAAATAGGAACCTTCAGATGCCAACAGCAAATTTTAGTCTTTGCCACACCAACTGCACATAGTTTGTACAGAAGGCACAGGAGCCAATGGACCCAACATCAATTCTCTTGTGCGGGTGGGGGGTCTTAGGAGAAGATGTCTTCTAAAACAAAATAATAAAGCAAAATGGACAACCTAGTAATATCACCCTGGAGCACTGGCTACTGCCCTCTCCTTGGCTTATTCTCTATCAGAATATAACACTTTAATTTTCTACTCTAGTAGTTGGAACCGTATTCTATGATATTGTGTGAGGACTTCTGTGTGTTCTTGTAGACAAGACATCAATGGTTTTGTCTGTTTGAGGAGATAACACCAGTAGTTAGGGTCTTATTGTCCTGTTGGACATTAGCCAGCTTTGTTTCTAACCTACAAAACTTATCTCAGCAAATTAGTCTATGGAATCTCCCTTGAATCACCTTTCCTTACCCTTCAAATTACCTCAGTAATAAATTAAATGCTGACACATGCCCATTCTTTCCCTCTGTGAGAGTCATGTTCAACTTCTGTGAAAACTGTTTTTTTGTTTGTTTGTTTGTTTGTTTGGGGGGGGGTTGGCTTTATGAGACAGGGTTTCTCTGTATTGTTTTGGAGGCTGTCAGTCCAGCCCAGCCTCAAACTCACAGAGATCCGACTGCCTCTGCCTCCCGAGTGCTAGGATTAAAGGCATGCGCCACCACTGCTGGCTTGCTGAGCCTCTTCTATAGGCTAAGAGAGTCATGCAACATAGACGTGGTCAGCAAGATAGAAGCAGCCAAAGGGTGAGAGCTGCTGGGAAAGTTTCTGCTCCCCCGATCAAGATGGAGCTATCTGGCACCTAACTCCCTTTGCCAACTGGTTTGTTTGTTGAGATTTTTGGAATTAAGGTAACTAGTTCTGCATGCAAGAAGCAATAAAGAATGACAAAAAAGAGAAGTCTAAAATGGCTAAGCACTTTAAAAAGTGCTCAACATCCCTAGCCATCAGGGAAATGTGAATAAAAACAACTCTGAGATACCATCTCACTCCTGTCAGAATGGCTAAAATCAAAAACACCAATGACAGTTCATGCTGGAGAGGATGTGGAGAAAGGAACACTCCTTCACTACTGGTGGGAGTGCCAACTCATGCAGCCACTTTGGAAATCAGTATGGAGATTCCTCAGGAAAATGGGATCAGTCTACCACAAGAACCTGAAATTCTACTCTTAGGCAAATACCCAAAAGATGCAAATTCATACAAGGACATCTGTTCCACTATGTTCACAGCAGCATTATTTGTAATAGCCAGAACCTGGAAGCAACCTAGATGCCCTCAAATGAAGAGTGGATAGAGAAAATGTGGTACATTTACACAATGGAGTACTATTCAGCGGAAAAAAAACAATGGAATCTTGAATTTTGCAGGCAAATGAATGGCACTAGACGAAAGCATCCTGAGTGAGGTAACCCAGTCACAAAAAGACAAACATGTTATGTGCTCACTCATATATGGATTTTAGACATGGATCAGGGGAGTGCCAGCATACAATCCCACTGCCAGAGATCTGGGAAACAGAACCTTCAACTAATCACTGATAGAAGCAGAGGCAGACACCCACAGTTAAACACTGGACTGAACTCCTGGAATCCAGTGACACAGAGGGAGGACTCATAAGCAAAAGGATCAAGACTGGACTGGTTTAACCCACAGAAACAGCTGACCTGAACAAGGGGGAGCTCTTGGACCCCAGACTGGTTGGGAATCCAGCATGGGACTGATCAAGACCCCCTGAATGTGGTGTCAGTGAGGAGGCCTAGGCAATCTATGGGGTCTTGGGTAATAGATCAGTATTTATCCCTGGCACACAAACAGACTTTCAGTGCCCATCCCACAATGAGGGATGCTCTCTCAGCCTGAACCTTTGGGGGAGGGCCTAGGCCCTGCCCTGAATGAAATGACAGACTCTGGAGATCCCCCATGGAGGGCCTCAGCCTCCCTGGGGATCGGAGTGGGGATTGAGTGAGGGGCTGAGGGACCTGGTTGGGAGGCTGGGGAGGAGGGGAGAGAGAGGGAGCTGGGATTGGCATGTGAAGCAAGCTTGTTTCTAATTTAAATGTTTAAAATTCCCGCAAAAAAATTTTTTAAAAAAATAATGGCATAAAAAGAAAAAGAAAACAACCTCTGGGAGACCATCAGAGATACCAGCGTGACATCACTGAGATAACAAAATAGGAGTAGAAAAGACAGTCAGCCTCTAAGCTTATGTGAGAAAAATGAACTCCCTGAGTTCTTGCCTCCAACCAAACACATTTTCAGCAGTATAACTCTTGAAGAGCACCCTTCCTTGCTCTTAGCGTTTTATATTTCCGGTTTTCCTACCAGAAACACAGGTCCATGATGCTAGGCCTAAAATCTACACTGCAAAGAGTACACGTCCAACAGGATCTCGGAGCAGATTCATGGTGTTTCTAAGTTTCCGAAAACTAATTGGTATGGTTTCCATGGGTGAAGGAGAGCAAGGAAGGAGCCACCTGGCATATCCAGCTTGTCTCTGCACACCCGAGTCAGTGGATCATAAACGCTTCCCGAGGATGCCACTTCCTAAGGGTGTAAAGCAGAGGAGTCCCCCGTTACAAGGACATCTAGTGGAAAGTCTGCAGAGCCCCTTCAATCCTCCCCCCATGCTCAACCCACCCTCCCTGCAGGGCTGAGCTG